TTTTGTACTAAACTATTCACTAGAACTCACTAAACCAGAGCTTGAACCTATGTATTTGTGTAAACCCTTCACTTGGTTGCTTCGGTCACTAGTGAGGATAAGTACGTAAATGAATAGAGACAGAGAAGCAAACACAGGATGTACGTGGTTCACCCAGATTGGCTACGTCCACGGAGTAGAGGAGTTCTCATTAATTGTGAAGGGTTTACACAAATACATAGGTTCAAGCTCTGGTTTAGTGAGTTCTAATGAATAGTTTAGTACAAAATGACATTAGAGATTATTGTGGGAGAATGATCCCTATTTATAGAAGAGAGTTTCTAGTTTTGTTCTAATATTGACACATGTCGTGTTGTGATTGGCTTCTGATGTTGACACGTGTCGTGCTGTGATTGGCTTCTGATGTCGACACGTGTCGCATTGTGATTGGCCTTCTGGTTGAAGGGAAACTCTTCTGGGTCCTTGACGGTATAACGTTGACCGGTGCTCAGTAGTTTCGGGATTAGTCAAGTATGGTACAAACAGTGCTCCCCTAAGTTCCCGAGTGAAGGAAGCTCCTCGGTTGGGGACTTGCAAGATCCAAGCCGCTGAGTAATCACGAAACTTCTAAGTACCGAGGTGTGGTATCGTCTTCACTTGCCTTATCTTTCTCATAGGTAGATGTGGCATCTTCTCTGGAAGTACGCTTCCTCCATCCAGGGGTGGTATCTTTAACCGATGAAGATGCACAAGGTAATGTATCAATTTCACTTGAAGCTTACTTGTAGTTTCGGGCTTGGTCAAGTGCGATACAAACCCTCAGAAGCCAATCACAGCACGACACGTGTCAACATCAGAAGCCAATCACAAAACGACATGTGTCAATATTAGAACAAAACTAGAAACTCTCTTCTATAAATAGGGATCATTCTCCCACAATAATCTCTAATGTCATTTTGTACTAAACTATTCACTAGAACTCACTAAACCAGAGCTTGAACCTATGTATTTGTGTAAACCCTTCACAATTAATGAGAACTCCTCTACTCCGTGGACGTAGCCAATCTGGGTGAACCACGTACATCCTGTGTTTGCTTCTCTGTCTCTATTCATTTACGTACTTATCCTCACTAGTGACCGAAGCAACCAAGCGAAGGTCACAAAACCTGACACTTTCTGTTGTACCAAAGTCTTCGCTGATTTTGTGCATCAACATGAACTATAGGTGTTTCTGCCGGTTTACATGCCAACATTCTTATTTCAGACAAAAGATCTAGAACATATTTCCGCTGAGATAAGTAAATACCATCACGGGAACAAGCAACTTCAATTCCCAAGAAGTACTTCAAACCACCTAGATCTTTCATCTCAAACTCTGAAGAGAGATACTCTTGTAATTCTTTCATCTCCTCTGTATCATCATTTGTAACCACCATATCATCCACGTAGATTATTAACAAGGTGACCTTACTCTCCTTGCGTTTGATAAACAAGGTATGATCTGCATTCCCTTGTTGGTAGCCATATTTCTTCATTGCATCAGTGAATCTTCCAAACCACGCCCTAAGTAATTGTTTAAGTCCATATAGAGCCTTCCGAAGTCTACACACTTTGCCAGCTCCATTTGGCACTTCGTACCCAGGTGGAAAATCCATGTACACTTCTTATTCCAAGTCTCCATGCAAGAAAGCATTTTTCACATCAAACTGTTTCAAAGGCCAATCAAAGTTAGCGGCCAAGGACAACAGAACACGAATTGTATTCATTTTTGCAACAAGAGAAAAAGTTTCTTGATAATCAACCCCCAACGTCTGTGTGTACCCTTTAGCTACCAATCTTGCCTTGTATCTGTCTATGGTTCCATCTACTTTGTGTTTGATGGTGAACACCCATTTACATCCTACTGGTCTCTTCCCTTGTGGTACTGACACAACATTCCATGTTCCATTCTTTTACAAAGCTTCCATTTCTACCTCTATGGCTTCTATCCATCAAAGGTCTTGCAATGCCTCTTCCACTTTTGTTGGTATCTTAATTGCGTCCATTTTATTCACCAAGGCTTGGTACTTGGGTGATAGTCGATGAGTAGACATGTATTGTGCAATTGCATATCTTACTTTTCCATTCGGAGAAAACCTGTCAGGTGGTTTCCCACGATTTTCTCTAGGGAGTAACACATATGTAGCCAAGTTATAAGTCTCATTAGATTGAGATGAACGTACCTCAAGGATATCCTTAGGGACATGGGTGTGCAAGTGGAGGATGATGGTTATTATCTAATGTGATTGTTTTAGGCCCACCAGTCTCATCAATGGGTTGCTCCTGCCATGATTTGTCACTAGGATGCTCTTGCTGTGACTTACCACTACAATCAATGGGTTGCTGCTTATCAATTGCCTGCTGTAACCGTGGTCCAACAGTGGGTTGTTGCTTGTCAGTGGCTTGCTGTTGCGGTGGCTCAACAGTGGGCTATTGTTGCCGTGGCCTATTTTCCCCAGCAACAATTTCATTTGGCTCGTTTATCTTAAGCCTGGTTAGCTCGGCATCAGTGGGCTGCTGCTCATTTGTCGCTGCATCTCGTAAGTCCCCAAATTCCATATCATTTTTGTACCTAAATTCGGTTCGCTTCCATTGTCTTGCCAATTAGGGATAACATCAAACCAACTATAATCTTCACTTGTATTCATCTCCCCCTGAAGAGTAAATGAGGTTTGATCAGTGAAAAATTTTTCATTCTCAGAAAATGTGGTATCCATAGTGACATATAGATGTCGAGTCGGTGGATGATAGCATCGGTATCCCTTTTGTTGGGCATTAAATCCCAAAAATACACAACGAACGGCACACGGATCCAATTTACGACGTTGGTTTTTGTGAAGATGCACGTAAACCACACATTCAAATATGCATGGTGATAACTGAAGTAAGGACGGTAAAGTAACATAGTCCGTAAAGGCTTCTATCGGGGTGCGAAAATTAAGAACTCGGGAGTACATTTGGTTCATGAGATAAACTGAATAGGTAATGGCATCTACCCAATAAAAGTAGGGTGCATGAGCGCCAATGAGAAGGGCACGAGTGGTTTCCAATATATGACGATTCTTACACTCAGCCACACCATTTTGTTGTGGAGTTTGAGGACAAGTAGTTTCATGAAGGATGCCCTGTTCTTGAAAAAACTGAGAAAGTTCAGAATTAAGGTATTCTCCACCATTATCAGACATGAGAACCTTAAGCGAAAGAGAATATTGGTTTCTTATCATCCGGTATAACTGTTGAAAAATTGGACCCACATCACTTTTATGTTTCATTGTATAAAGCCATGTCATTTTCGTACAATCATCCACGAAAGTAACGAACCAATGAGTTCCATGTTTGGTAGCTATTAGGGAAGGACCCCACACATTGGAGTGAACTAACTTAAACGGTACCGTTCTTTTACTGAAACTCAAATGATAAGAAGCACGATGACTTTTTGCAAGAATGCAATCATTACACAGAAAATCAGAGTCTTAAACGCCGCTAAATAAAGATGGAAGCAATTTTTTCAAATAACCAAAAGAAGCATGCCCTAGTCGACGATGCCATAACCAAATTGTCTCGATCTTATTGTTATGACCACTGCAGACTTGATTTACTCTGCTTGCGATCACATCATCCACATTATATAACCCTTTTCTCTTAGTACCACGCCCAATAATCACCCCTGTTTGGATATCCTGAAGAAGGCAAAAAGTGGGAAACATTTGCACAACGCATTCTAATTGTTCGGTGACCTGACCAACTGAAAGTAAATGATTTGATAATGATGGAACAAGTAGTGTGTTATGCAAAGATAGAGATGGAGTAAAAGAAACATAACCCGCTCCCGTAACAGGTGCAACATCACCGTTAGTTGTGATGACATTCTCCTTGGACGGGGAGGTCATGTGGTGAAACAAGGATGCATCGTAGGTTATATGGTCAATAGCCCCAGAGTCTATTATCCAACCATAGTCGTGCGTGGTGGAAGCCATTAAAGCAGTACCCATTTTACATGAATCTTCATAATCGTCAATAATTGAAATTTGTTTAATCAGGGACAACATTGGACCGATGTCCTTATCCCTAGCTGCTGCATCCTTGTTGCGCTCCAAGTCATGATCTGAAGCCATGCTACCCTTGGGCCCAAACTGACTTGCTACAACACAGCTACGCCAGGCTCTGCTTTAAGCCAACTTACTGCGACAACAACCATGCTATCTTTGTCGACCATTGGAATTTTTTCAGTGAGGTAGCCATGCTTGCCAAGTTTGGAAGCATGAACCTTTATCATCTTCGACCAGTCTTCGAAGTTCATGTCGCTCAACTGAAATCCAAACGGTACGCCGCTAATGTTGGTGAACTCCATCGAACTGGACATGGGTTGGGTGGTAACCAACTCTCTACTCTTTCTATTTTCTGCCATCGCACCAGGTTGATCGTGATTTGGCAAGATTAAATTTTGATGTAGCTTTGATGATTACAAAGCTATGAGGGTTTTGTTTGGTTTCTGGGTTCAAATTTTAAGAACACCAGGATTTGTTTTTTTCTTATGCAATCTTTCCAAAATGCACGGCTTGGGTTTGACTTGTTTTAGGGTTTGGGAAGAGACAGGCCGAAACCTGCTCTGATGCCAAAATAAAAGTATAGGGTTTAAATGATATTTTTATTCTTCTCTCTCAGAGGAATATATATATAGTTGTAAAAGAGGTCCTATAAATTAGGAAACTAGAACCCCAATTATATAGGATATCAATCACATGATTACATACTCAAACAATACATCTATAATCCCTGAAATATAGCATTGACTCACGCCAACAGTTTCAAGTAACAACTTCAACATCAAAGCCGAAGAATACCACCCTCTTACACCCCAGCTTGCCGTGTCTCACGAACGAGCCGCCGCCGTGGCATTCCAAGTCACCATATTTCCTAACCGTGGCTTTTGTATTGGAACATATATGCACCATGCAATCCTAGACGGCTCGACTTCAACCATGTTTGTAAAATTATGGGCTCACATATGCAAACACGAAAATTCCAATTTGTTACCTGACCAGCTCAAACCATTATACGACAGAAGCGTCGTCCAAGACACCGCCGGGCTCGAACCAATTTTCTTGAACCAATTGCTAAACATGGATTCAGACCGGCCCTTCAATAGAAGCTTGATGTTCGTCGACCATTTTAAATCTCCAGCAGAAGACACAATTCGAGGAACGTTTGTATTCACTCGGGAAAAAATAGAAGCACTAAGGCAATCAGTGAAGGAGAAGAGACAACAACATGGTCATCAATCGGTTCAATATTTGTCTACGTTTTGTGTCATACGTGCGTATGTATGGATTTGCTTAATCAAGGCAAAAGAAATACAAAGTGATCATAAAGCTGCAGTTCTGATGGGCTTTACTGTGGAATGTAGGTCGCGTTTAGACCCTTCTATACCCACCACTTATTTCGGCAACTGCTTATCATGCAGCGGAGCAGTTGCGGAAACAAAAGCGGTTTTAGGAGAAGATGGTCTGATTGTGGCAATAAATGCAATTAGTGAAGCTATAAAACGTTTGGACACGGACGGAGTTTTGGGTGGATTAGAGAATTTGCTTCCTTTAATGTACTCAACGAGTATAGATCATGAGAGTTTACTCTCTATTGCTGGATCGCCTCGCTTTGAAATTTATGGGACTGACTTTGGTTGGGGAAGACCAAAGAAGGTGGAGGTCATTTCCATAGAAAAGACTGGAGCAATATCTCTCTCAGAATCCAAGTATGGTGGTGGAGGCGTTGAGGTTGGGTTGGTTTTGAAAAAACATCACATGGAAGCGTTTTCGAGTCTGCTTGCGAAAGGTCTTGCAAACATCTGAAGCTATGTTATTGGCACTATGCTGATTTCTAAAATCCTAGTTTTTATTTTTTTTCTATTGTTTTTTTCAATTAAGTACAATAGAGAAGATTAGGTGAGATTAACTCTTCATCAATAATCGCATGCGAGGCACCTACCCTCTCCTGTAGGGGTGAGGACCATTACACCCAGAAACACCCAGCCTGCCCTTCCTCCATCATTTCTAAAATCATAGTTGTTACGTTGTTTTATAATGTGTGCCCCATTCAGGTTCACTATTGTTGAAAAGTTTAATTTGAATGGAAATGGTGTGTAATTTGGGGATTTTCTTTATGGGATTTCGGATTGTAGAATACTCTAGGTATTTTAACTGTTAAAATTTTTTGTTTACTAATACAGCAAAAAATTAAGATCGAATGATTAAAAGCTACAGAGTATATGGGCAGTATAGAATTTCTTTATGAAAAACAGTGACTGTTCGATTAAAAGTGAAAGATACAATGCTTGCTTTTTAATTTGAAGATATGCAACTCTATCTTTCTTTAGGAAAAGACGTAAAGTCGTCACTTTTATTTCTTTTTATGAAGCCTACAACTCATCCAGCATAGTCACAACCTTTCATTCGCTTCTGTAAGTCACAACCTTGTACATCTCATTCAAGAAATCCTATCAGTTCATTCATAGCATTAGTGAGTCTTGCATGCATAGAGATTTAAGTGAGCATGATTTCTATTAGGAGTAGGCACAGTTCGGTTCAGTGCAGTTTTCAGTGAAACCAAAATCGAAATTGAAATTTTTCGCATTTCGGTTCGGTGCGATTTCGACGCCAAAGTCAAAATGAAACTAAACCGTTTGGTTCGGTTTGATGTAGTTTCAAATGGTTTTGGTTCGGTTTTTTAGAAAAGATGTACAATTTAAAATTTACACATATTTAGGAATAAGACAATCTAATTTTTTAAACGTGAAATAAAGTTTCAAACGTGCAGCAAAACTGCAGCAAACTTGTAGCAAACTGCAGTAAGATTATACGAAAAACAACTTTTTTTTCAAGATTATAAAACACCCCCCCCCCCCCCCCCCCAAAAAAACGCAAAAAAACCAAACTTCAATGCGAGGGATTTCAAAGTTCACAGAGGTTTTCAGAGAGAAAAGTGAAAGTGATTGTTGAGTCTCTCTGGGATTTCAAAGTTCACAGAGATTTTCAGAGAGAAAAGTGAAAGTGATTGTTGAGTCTCTCTCTCTCTCTTAATAAACTAATCAACTTTCTAGTTTTTGCGGGAAGCTGATGTATTGATATATAAGCATTTTGTATGCTAGGTTTTGGGTGTTAGATCAGATGAGGCCTCATATGTGTTTTGAGAGAGTGAGAGAGACTGATGACTGATAATTTGGTATTCTGTCGAATAGGAATGAAAGGGGATTAAATTGTAGTGTGGTTGAGTCCATACTAAATGTACCAATAAAAACATGACATCTGTTTGAGATGTGGTTTCAGTTTCGGTGTAGTTTTCAACAACCAAAACCGAAATCAAACCGTTTCCCTACACTATGGTCGGTTTCAAAACCACAAAACCGAACCATTCGATGTGGTCCAATTTATTTGGTTCGTGTTTCGGTTTCAATTCCAAATGCCCACCCATGTTTTTATATAATTTCTTGGGCGCACTAAAGGCTTATGATTTAAAGTTCTATGATACAAAGTTAGTGGCGCGTCTTAAGATTGTTAGAAATTTGTCACTTAGTAATACAGTCTAGTAATATTTCTTTTCACTTGTAAGTGAGAGGTCTTAGGTTTGATTCTCACTGAAAGTGAATTTGAACAACGTTATTGCTAGCCTATTTTGAGGCTTAGCATACTCCCCCATCCCTTAGGGTAGATAATATCGTTTTCTGTAAATAAAAAAAGAAAAGATTGTTAGAAATTTTATTTTTCTGAATTAGTATGATATACTACATTAATTGAAGAAATGAGTTTATATATATATGCATTCTCCTAGGGGGATGAGCACATTCCCCTTTGCAAATAACGTATTTTGATCGAATAAATTTTAGAATCGGAGCCGTTTAACTTCTTAATTTTTATTTGAAGATCACCTATACAAAAAACCAGTTTAATCGGAAATCATTTAGTCATTCAAATGTGTAGAATAACCTTGCGAATTACATATTTTGATCGTATAAATTTTATAATCAGAGCAATTTAACTTCTTAATCTTTATTTGAAGATCACCTATACAAAAAAAAATCATTTTAATCGAAAATTATTTAGTCATTTAAATGTATAGAATAAATTGGCGGCATAGGAATCGATTAATATATTCATCATAAACTATCTTTTTACTTGATACGTTTGGATAATTAAACGATCTCCAATTCAAATTATTTTTTGTAGGACTAATCTTCAAATAAAGATTAATAAATCAAACGATTGATTGATTTTATTTGTCAAGATAGCTATTCACAAATGGGAGAATATGTGCATTCCCACATAGGTAAGTATTATCCTTAAATATTTGTCACGACATTTCGAAACGAGTTATGTTTGGGTCAATATAACAATTTGATCAAGTGAACCAAACTATTCCTAGTTTTTCTTTTTTTTTTGTTGAATGATACTGTGCATGCTTGTTTCTTGGTTCTGTTTTCCTTTCTTATGCCTTGCTAATTTTTCTGCTGCTATGCCAATAATACATATTGGTTGTAACTAGGCTACTGTTCTTTTTTCCCTTCATTTTTTATTTTTCGGTTAGAAGTTCTTTTTTCCCTTTATATATAGCCGTTTATTTTATCATTTTCCCTTTATAAATAATTGTGATTTAACAATTTTATTCTAAGTTAAAATGTTTGAGTGAGAATGAGATAATCATACTTACTGTGAGCATGCAATTCTTTATGGGGTGTGATATTCACACACCCCATTTTACTTTTCACACACCCTTCTAATTTTCAGCCGTCGAAACAGATGAATTGAAGAAAATCAACGGACAGAAATTAACAAAGGGTGTGTAAGAAGTAGAATGAGATGTGTGAATATCACTTCCCTTAGGCCTTAGGGGACGTAAGATTTGCTAAGTATGGTCCCCGATTAAAGAAAGCTGAAAACGAGATATCAATCAAGCACTTGTATACAGTATCTAGGATGATGTCCCTCTCCACTACCAAGTAAGCATTAACCAAAAAAAAGGGGCAAAAGGAACACAAGATTCACAACAGCTCAAGCTTCAAACTTCCAGATCTCCAATTGCTAATGGCATACACAAACTCAGTGAAAGTAGTTGAAGCTTGCAGGGTGGCTCCTCATCCAACCTCGCCAGATTCAACCGCCTTGCCGACCTCCCTTCCTCTTACCTTCTTTGACATACGTTGGCTAAGGTTCCAACCGGTCCAGCGCCTTTATTTCTACCAAATTTCTACTTCCTTTGATACCAAACTTCTCTTCTCCAAACTCAAAACCTCACTCTCTATAACCCTGCAACACTTTCTACCTCTAGCAGGAAACCTCACTTGGCCGCAAGAATCCCCCAAACCCACCCTCAATTATGTTGAAGGCGATGCAGTTTCACTCACAGTAGCGGAGACTGATGCTGATTTCTACCGTCTTTCAAGCGACAATGACTTTCTTGAAGCCCAAGAATACCATCCTCTTGTTCCCCAACTGCCAGTTTCTCATGAAAAAGCCGCGATCATGGCATTGCAAGTCACCATCTTTCCAAATAAGGGCTTTTCCATTGGAACAACCATGCACCATGCAGTCCTCGACGGCAAGTCTTCAACCACGTTTGTAAAATCATGGGCTCACATATGCAAACATATCGGAGAAGGAGAGGGACAAGTACATCTGTCCTCATCTGTTTCGCTACCGGATGAGCTGAGACAGTTTTATGACAGAAGGGTTGTTACTGACCCAGCTGAGCTCGGAACTCTCTTTGTGAACCAGTATCTAAACTTGGGTGGTCCCAACAACAGAAGCTTAAAGATTTGGGAAACTAAAGTGCCGCCAGGCTCGATCCGAGGCACCTTCAAATTCACACGAAAAGATATCGAATCGCTGAGGCAACTGATGAGGACCAAAGCTGGAGAGAAGAAACAAGAAGATGTTCATGTGTCAACTTTCACTCTAGCATGTGCCTATACATGGGTTTGCATTGTCAAGGCGGAGGAAATAAAAGGTGAGACAACACGTATGGTCTTTATGGCCGACTGCAGGCCTCGCCTAGACCCTCCTCTACCCACAAATTACTTCGGGAACTGCACAGCGGGATGTGTACCAGTTGTAGAAACAAAAGGGCTTTTTGGAGAAGACGGGCTGGTTGTGGCGGTATATGCAATCCGTGAAGCTATAAGAAAGTTGGAGAAGGGGGTTTTGGATGGAGCGGAAAATTGGGTTTCGAGAGTGGTTACTGTGACTTCTGGGAGAATGATAAGCATTGCCGGTTCACATCGGTTTAGGGTTTATGATACTGACTTTGGATGGGGAAGACCAAAGAAGGTTGAGATTGTTTCCATTGATAGAAACAGAGCTATCTCATTTTCAGACCCCAAGAGTGATGCTGGGGTTGTTGACGTTGGATTGGTTTTGGAAAAACATCATATGGAGGTTTTTGCTTCTCTGTTTTATAAAGATCTTAAAAGAAATATTTGTTAAGAACTTGTAACTCAAATGATTAAGAATATTTATTTCTAGAGATCTCAGGTTTGTTCTCTATACCCAGTATTGCCGATATCCAAAACCAAATTAAAAAACGTCTTCATGACATTTGAAGCTTTACTGTTGAAACTCCTCATCTATATATGCTAGTAACAAAACTTTCATTGCAACTTTATGTTTTGGGGAATAATAATTAGGAGCTATTTGGTCAATATGAAACCAACATTGTAGCTTCTATCAAAATTTGAATCACAATTTTTTAGTTTGGTAGTATGAAGTTTTTTATTTTTTTATTGTCGCACGACCGCATAAGAGACAAAGTTCTTTATGTCATAATATATAGGCATTTTAAAGTTACGCCAATCTTGTTAATA